GGGTTCTATAGGTGTATATTGGGACAATTCCAATAATGAAAAATCAAATGGCACATGAAATGGATACCTTAGGAGGACCCCCCACCCTGTAATAGTGGTATAATAGGAATATAAGAGGACCCTATTATAGTTACTACTATCCCTTGCAGTCACTATTACAGGGTGGGGGGTCCTCCTAAGATATACCCTCTTATATTATAGCAGCTTCCATGTTCTTTTCCATTATACCTATATAACCCCTATATAGTCCCTATAATCCCTATATAACCCATTATAGTAGTTTCCATGTTCTTTTCCATTATCCCTATATAACCCCAAGATAGTCCCTATGATACTATAGTGTGTGCAGCAAGCCAAACCTCTCCCCGAGACACTGGCGCTGCAAGCAAGAAGTACGCCGTCGCAGACGCAGCTTGCAGAACTTGAAACCTTGAGTTTTGCGGATCTGGGGTAGAATATATAGGGATTACAGGGACTATATTGGGGTTATGTAGGGATAATGGAAAAGAAAATGGAAACTACTTTAATGGTCTATATAGGGATTACCTGCAACTTGTGGTTGGACTGTACATGAGGTCCTGGGCCTCCGGCTCCGTCAACGTGTACAACCTTTGGCTGAAAGCACATAATGCAGGTGCATTGAAAACCGCTTTATATAGGGGTTATATAGGGATTAGAGGGACTGTATTGGGGTTATAGGGATAATGGAAAAGAAACTGGAAACTACTATGATGGGTTATACAGGCTTTATTCCATCCTTTGCAATAGCAGGAGCCCACTCGGCGGCCCACATTACCCATTATAGTACTTTCCGTTTTGTTTTCCATAATCCCATTATAACCCCAAAGTTACCCTAAAATCCCCATATAACCCTTATATAACCCCTATAATCCCCTGGAGCCCACTCGGCCGCCCGCATTCCCGGAAGGGAAAACAAGAGGACACTGTGCCACGCTCCTCGGCAGGATCCAGTACCTCTCAGGCTGCCAATGGACATCTCACATGAGAGTTTCTCAAAATTTGGGGTACCTTTAGATATATAGGGGATATATAAGGGTAATATAGGGTTTAGGGTTTAGGGGTTTCCCAAAATTTGGCGTACCCTTTTGGGGGTCCCCACAATAAGGACCATAGCAATTTGGGGTCTATATTGGAGTTCACAACCCAAGGGTCCAGGCACTCATAGAAACATGATGGCCATGTTGGAGTTCCCGTGAATTTTGGGAAACTATCATATGCAGAACGGTGAGTCGGGCCTTCAAACACACACGCCAGTCCACCTCTGTAGTCCTGCCACTTTTCTCAAGCAACTTGAATGACAATCATGACAGTATATGAGCCATAGTCTAAACTTAATAACCCCCATACTGCTCACCTGGATGTTCCCCTGTGTCCGCCCTGGGCTGAGGTTCTGGTCTATTCCTTGGGGGTCCTCCAATCTATTCCCCAAAGGTCCCCCCTAATCCCTCTATACATCCCCCCGTAGGTCCCCTCTAACCTAACTTTAGTCCTTAGCTCATATAAACCCCCCCCCCTTTAAGGAGTTTAGACTATAGCTCACATGACAACGTCCCCCAAACCCTAAACCCTAAATAAAGGGGGGCTATATACTCCCCCATAAATACCCACCCCGTAAATGAGTTTAGACTATAGCTCATATGACAACTTCTGGCAGGCCGTGGTTGGCCTGAAGCACCGTTTCGACCTCACCCTTCCAAGCAGCGGACCTCAGAATCTGGCCTTTGGCTAGCTGGGAATGAAGGAATGAAAAAGAAAGGGAAACTACTATAATGGATTATATAGGGTTTGGGTTTAGGATTTAGAGGGAGTGGAAACTATTGTAATGGGTTACATAGGGACTACTATTAGCATCCATTCCTTCATCCCTAGCTAGCCAAAGGCCAGCAAAGCGAGCTTTGCGTGCCCACACCCACACCCAACACCCAAAGTCTGAGCACATGACGATATAAGCGCTGTCACAAAGTTGCACGGACTTGGTTCCATCAATTTCAATCGGTGGACGCCGCACAAAACTGCTGTGTCACAACATATGACACAATAAAGCCACACACAAGGCAGCATCAGGTCCTCTTTTGCTATGCTTGCTCTATCTTGCTATCCCGGCTGTCTTCACGAAGCTGATGTTGCAAGACGAGTAGGAAGTCTCGTCCATTTCTCCAGATCTGCTGCAGGTGCCGGTGTAGCTGGCTTCGTTCTTCTGAGTCTCCGAGCACTGGATTTCAGTCATGCTTGCGTACCAAACCCTTCTTCTGGTTCGTGGTCGACCCAAACCAACAAACGCAGCCCTTCAGGTGCACGATCTACGATCTACACTTGCACCGAAATTCGTCGAAGTCCATTGCCCGTGCCCTCGGCTGGGAGTGCACCTCGCCGTGGCAACATGGTGTACAATGGAATATGATGAGGAAAGGCCACGACAGCGTGCATCAGTCACATGTTTAAGGACGAACTTCAGGAGCAAGTCATGGTGGGTCGTTAGTACAGCAAGGCGGCTGAATATGTCAAAGCTCATGTCTTGAGCTTCCAGGCATAGACCGTTGCCGAAGCCATTGTCGTCGTGGCAATGACACACACTATCAAGTGCATGAGCACTGCCATCAGCACTACCCGCGTGCTTTCCTTTGGCAACTTTCTTCACATGCCAATCAAAAGATTAACATGAAAAAATCACTGCATCCGTGGCTCGTACCAAAGCTGGGCCTCAGATGGAAGGACGCACGAACATGCACCACAACAGGACTCCACGTCTTCGTCTCTCCTTCTCATTTTCTCCTTGCTACCTGTGCAATCCAAGGCACGAGAAATTGGGATGGATGTTCTAGGAGAGCGACAAATCGAGGTTCTGCTGCTGCCTGCAGAAATCATGCAAACCATCGACAACCCGGAACCCTCAACCCTAACACATCTAAACCCTAAACCCCTCAACCCCTCAACCCCTAACCCAAACCCTTAAACCCCAGAACCCTCCCCCTACCCCCTCTTCCTCAACCCCCCCCCCCTGAAATAAGAATCTCCCAATCCCACCTTGATGCCAAAGACGGATGAAGCCTGCAGAACCGCTCGAGCAAAGACCTCGTCCTGGAGCTGGCCTTTGGTTAGCTAGGGATGAAGGAATGGATCCTTATAAGAGTGCCTGAATAACAAACCTACCATAGTAGTTATTCCCTATAAAACCCCAATATACTACAGTAGTTTCCATTTTCTTTTCCATTATTCCCCCATAAAGCCCCAAATACATACCCTCTGAAAATGTAGTCCTTTCCATTTTCTTTTACATTCCTTCAGTCCCAGCTAAGCCAAGGCCAGGCAGTGGTTCACAGGCTGAAGGCGTACAAGTCCCATGGGTGTCAAAGCAAGCTGGGCCAGCAGATAAAGAGAACACCCATACGCATTCTCGAGTCGAAGTGTTGTTCAGACGAAGTTGCACCCTGAAATTATAGCTCGGAAGGGTTCTCTTGAAAATACTTCTGAGCTGCCCAGCATTCTTGTTAAACAAGAACCTGCACGCGAGTGCATATGTTCATATACTGGCTCCATCAACTGAGCAAGCCACAACAGGTCTTCACAGTCTATGCGCCATGTCAAAGGCGGTAAGTTAGTAGGAAAGCATTGTCCTGCTCCACCATGACTCCTTGAAGAAAATTTCCACAAGAAAAGCTGCTCCTCCTGCAACACAAACCATGGTGAATGCAGCAGTCCAAAACGGATCACCAAAATCGCCACTGGCTCCTGCCACAGCACTCTTTGCCGACAGCCCAGTAGAGCACCTGAAATAAATTATTGCTTCCCAATCTTGACTTGAAAACTCGTCATACTTGAGTGGCTGCCTGGTGTCCGTCATGCTGGCTTCGAACCACGGGCGCAACACAATAGAGACCACCTTTCCTAAATCGGCACGAAGGGCAGGTGGAATCAACAACACGAAAGCATCCGCAAGCCAAGTTTCGCAAGGTGGCCCAGAGAGCGCTTCCCATCAACCACGGTACCATCAACAAACTTGAAGAAAGAGACCTTATCTGGCATGAGCTGTTTCCTGCATAACACGAACAGCTGCTTCATCTGCTTCAAAATTATTCAAATTCGGCTGACTGAGCACTAGAACTGTGCGATGAGAAGAAAGATATAGAAAGATGAAGATGAGTTGCTCAACCACTGTGTATGAATCGGGAAAGTTTGACGGTTTGTTCCGTGCCTGTGGCTGCTGATGCATTGCAAGGGGCCATGTCAACTTCTCGAGAGGCGTCGTACGGATTTACGATCTGGTAGCTTGACGAGCGGTACAGCTGCCAGAACCTGCTCAGGATGCTTCGAATGAAATCTGATCAGCTCCTCTCTGGAATGGCCTGTCCAAATAGCCAGCTTCCTAGGCTGTGCGCATAGCCAGATTAACAAGACAACGTATGAAATCGTATGACTCGGAGAAGCGGTGAGGTAACGCGAAAACCCCTTAGGCCCTAAACAGTAATTCCCATTTTCTTTTCCATGATTCCCTGTATAACCCCAATATAGTCCCTATGATCCCCTATATAACCCATTATAGTGGTTTCCATTTTCTTTTCCATTATTCCCTGTATAACCCCAGTAGATAACCTATAATCTCTACATAACCCATTATAGTAGTTTCCATTTTCTTTTCCATTATTCCCTGTGTAACCCCAATAGATAGCCTATTATATGCATCCAAGTGTCCAGCCAGGTGCCCACCGCAGCTCCCAAGCCAACCGAAGCGAGGCACAGGAATCCGATGGCCATGAGCCTCGCATTCCTCAGAGCGCGCTGCTCAGGATATGTTCCGTTGCACGTCTTCCATGCCGCAGCCTTGACGCCCGGCCCAGACTGATGCTACCCACCTTGGTATGTTTTTAGGCCTACTGGAAAGAAGCAAACAAGCTACACTATTCTACACTGCATTTCTGAGGTTCATGCACATAGCAGTGTGCAGCAAAGCTCCAGAACCCAGACGAGGGCCTGCAGGTCACAGAATTCTGCTTCTGCTACTTAATGTCTCAAGAACGCCAAAATGCACAGCCTGGTAGGAAGCAAGTAAGAAAGTACAGCCCTTCAACATCCTGCAGACTCAAGAAAACCTCAAGTTGCAGCAACGGATATAATGGGTTATATAGGGATCATAGGGACTATATTGGGGTTATACAGGGAATAATGGAAAAGAAAATGGAAACTACTATATATAATGGGTTATATAGGTTTCCCTGATGCCCCGGCCGCGTGGTCGTGGTAGAGACAAACGAATAAGCTCAAGCTGAGAACCTTGGATCAAAGAACGCCAAGGTTTTCAGATGAAACTGAATTGATAGTCATCCCTGAGCACACACTGCAACTGCACAAGGAAGACATGACCCTTCAAATCTGCAGATTTGCAACGACATGCCGCACCACAGATTTGCATTTACAGGATAGTCGAATTGCAATTCAATGGCTGCGGTTCGTCTGGGTCGCGCTTGCATATCCACATGCATTGCTCTTGAAACATCAATTTCACTTTTCAGCAAGAAAAATTATGTCATGGTAACCTTCACCGTGCCATATGTAGTACCTTTGATAGAGCCTATCCAATCAGTTGAAAGAAGTCTAATACTCGGCCAACGCGAGAGGCCTGGTTGTCTTGGGGCAGTTGCTGGTTGTGAGCCCTGGCCCCTTTCCACGTGCAAGCGTCCTGGTACCCGAGCACTTGGGTGTTTCCGTCTCTTTGCCCTGGACAGCCCTGCCTTCCTCCCACTCACCCAGAACAGATCGTCCTTCGTTTTTAAGGTTCCCTCCTGCAAAAGTTTATTCACGACGGCTACCTCGATATGATTCGCCACGCTTTCTACGTGCTGGCCTGGCACTCCTCCAACCTCGTCCCTCTCCCTGGCTGTCCCTGTTAGACCTCCCCCTTTCCTTGCTTGCGCTCAGGTTGAAACTGCCAGTGGCTGAAGGAACCTGCCCCAGTTTGCATATTTACACTCTCCAAACAGCTTGAGCTCGAACTGATGCATGCTGCTCTGGAAGGCTCGAGATAAGACATATAGGGGACAAGTAGCACTCTCCCTGCATGTATATTAGATTTCCATCCAAGGTGGCAGGTGCATATGAAGATGCTGCTGGGTCCATATCATCAGCAGACGAAACCAGACAGGCGCAAAGAATCCAGGGCGGCCACTTTGAACAACGAAGAACCGTAGAGGAAGTCAGCGTGGAAAATACGGCCAATTCTGGAATCTAAGGTCTCGGCAAAAGCTATCCACGGCATAAACGTCGCCCGAATCTTGTCACAGGTAGACATCCTACACTTCATTTTCAATGTGCGTCCCGTTCACCGACAGCAAGGGCGTGGTGCATGGCAAATCGTCCTTGAGCTCGGGTAATATTGCGGAAGATACAGCTCCGAGGCCTCAATGCAAGCACAGGCGCAGGTTTGGTGAATGTCTGTTGTACCAACCACTTCAGCCAGGCACCTCCTCTTCGTACATGTCCTCGGCCGCGCTGATGTCAGCCAGCTCGGCGCCATCAGTAGGTGCGCCAAGTGTGGTTCGAGGAATTTCAGGTGCAAGCGGCGGAGACACAAACTCATCTCCTGGGAAGATTAACAAACAAATTCAGGAATAGAATACATGTATATACGTGAGCTGACACCAATATTTCCCATCTAGATGACAGACATGGATTCCTATCCGAGAACATATTCAGGGCATGCTTAACTACCAAAAGGATCCCATGTCCACCCTCAATTGTCCCTTGGAAAAACGTAATATTGACAGTGGTTCGTTAACGCCACTAAGAGAGAATGCCTTTCCAGCTTTGACGGCAACACAATCTAGAAGCATGAACGCCTCCGTGTGCTACTGGCTGCCGCGGCATCATCCCGCTGCTGGCTGCTGGACCATGGAAGGCCACTCAATCTCGCACGGCATTATTGATCAGAATCAAGAGGGCCATAGAATAAAACTCTTACTATTCGGCTCAATAACCCTGTAGTAGTGCCCTATATATTATCCCGGAGATAAACCCTTTAAGGAGTCTAGATTCTGGCTCAAATGACAATTGCAATTCTTGTCCAGATCAGCCTTACTGGTAAGTCCAGTGAGCCAGCCATTGCAACGCCAAGTACACGCAACTGCAAGGTGAGTCAAGTATCCGCCGAGTCCTTTGAGTATCAAACTGCAAGCTGACAGTCTGGGACCACTGCATCCCGAGCAGCTGCGTGTACAACGTAGCCCGAACGGCCCATGAGAAGTCTCGGTGTCCTCTGGCAATGTCTCATCGGCACTTAGCAAAGCATCGCCAAGTGGGTGCTAATGGCTGTGAGCCTTCAAGGACGCCCTCGGCAACGACGTTTGCCACAGCTTGTGGCAGGCGTGAAAGGAGGAAGACCGCGACCCACACCATGCGGATCTGCCTGCCAGCGTTGTTCAAGTAATCTTACACCAGCTTACATCATGCTAACCGACCATGCAAGCGATGTACATGACAACATTAGGCAGGTCCAGTGGCTGCAGTCTGTCAGAGGTGAACAGGCTCGGCAAGAAACCCACCAACACTCCCGTGACGACGGCCGCTGACCCAAGCAATTGAGCCTTAGATGGCGAAACCCTTTCAAAACAACTTTGGTCCGCTAAACTGAGACTGGGGCACTTGTGTAGCTTGCATCAAGCATGATAGTGGACATCACCAGGGATAGTGGCACCACTGCCTGCATCGAAAAGAATCTTCTGAGGGAACGAGTGTGCACTGAGTGCGAAAAAGAAGCTTGAGTCATGTCTGGCTGCAGAGACTCACAATACTCCCCTCCCCCTCTGATTCAAGAAATCACAACCATCCGTCGTCGTTGCAGCAAGGGATGTTCATTCCTTTGGCTTGTGTTCTTCTGCAACAGCCTTTGCTTTTCCTCTTTTTTGGCGACACCCCTCTGTGAGAGCCCTGCCTCGCAAAGTGTGACCTTGAAAGAGGGCAGGCTTTTCGTTGTTGGAAGCAGGCAGTGCGAGGCCGACCCTACTTCAATGGACAATGAAAGTGATTGTTGCAACCAGCTGAAAACGGCGAGAAAGACTGGTTTCTTGGATGTTGACAACACTGCCCCACCGCTTCTGGTTCCTGATGATGGCAAACCTCGCACAAGCTCCCTCTGCATCGCTCTGTTCGGCCAGCAGCCGACACCAACGCATGCGAACGTTTGAGACAGTGATTGCAGACCATTGTAAAACCAACATTGGAGAATCAAAAGGACAAGAAAACAGAAAATGAAATGCAAGCTACTGCAGGGTTTGGGGTCAGGGTTGCGGTGCTGAAGGTCCTGTTGCAAAATCGGCGGCAGATCATCATTGCCCACACGCGGGATGCTGACAATCTCCATCGAGTTCCTGAAAAAAAAGACACTGTAGTCCGTGTATTCTCATATGGAGCTAGTCTAAACTCCTAGCATCCCCCTTAATAACCCCTATTATACTCCTGTATAGAATCCCCTATATAACCCCCTTCAAGGAGTTTAGACTATGGCTCATATGTTCTCATATGTTCTCCTCTTTTCCAGGAAATCTTGCGGGTTTCCCTGGCACTGACCACAAGGATTAGTTTGGAACAGCATCTACCACACAAGTCGTGCACCCATGCCGTCATCATGCTACCTAGCAGCCTGCTAGAATCACAAAATCCATTCTGAGGCATGAAACCCGAAACCCTAAGCCCTTAAAACCCTAAACCATCTGGGACTCTGAATGGAAAGAAGTGCAGCCAACCAGAGCCACGACCGGATGCCACGTTGGCTTGCTCTCGAGTCCTTCAGCTTTTTTGCTGAGTGAAGGTGCTCGCTTCACCGCAACCAACAGAATTGCGAGCATGGCAGTCCTTTGGCAATACTGTGAGTAAGCACCCCGAAAGCAAGACACCAATGGCGGCATTCAGTTGCGCAGCAAAAAATGGAAAATCGTGCCTTGGCTCTCAGCTCTCAGGTAAACGCAGCAGTGCATGCCAGCGGCGACGCAAGCTGAAAAAACAGTTGAGCAAGCAACCTCGAGAAACACAACTTCTACATGGTAGTTTCCCAAAATAGGGGGACCCCAATTTGACCCCCACATACTATAGTCCTTATTATAGGGAACCCCAAAAAGGGACCCCTAATCTTGGGAACCCCCCACATACTTCTACATGCTGGCAAGCCGCAGACGGTGAAGCTCAGAGTAATACAAGCAAGTGCTGACAATGGATATGGCGCAATTTGCAGCACAAATCCCAACCTCAGTAGAAAAAGCAGGGCATGCAGTACATTCCAGGCAGACCCCCCATCCTGGCACGCCGGAGCACTCAATTAGTGTGACGTGCAGCGAAAATCTTCTTGTACAAGCCTGCTTCCAAGCCACTACGATAAATGCTGGCGCTGTCGTCTGAGCAGGAAGCAGCGATGCACATGGCTCCCGATCCATCCACGTGGCTTTGACGTGTGTTTTCGTATACATCAATCTCCACTGTGCGTACAGAGAAACGATCCAAGTATTGTGTTTGGTTGATTGAACCAGGCAAGCCGTGCACGTTCTTCTCATAATCTTACTAGAAGATATGAACATTGAGCACTGGGAATTATCCCATGCCTATCTTAAATCTTACTCAACTGACATCCTCAGGCTGCTGCTCTGGATTGCCAACGGACGAACACAAATGAAGCACAAACACAGGATCATGATGCAACGGCATGAATCAATACTTTTGTTGGTGTTTATCCCATATCAAGATCAAAGCCTAAGGGAAGCATGTCCTAAGTGGTTTCTGAGACCATCCTTACTTGGCTCCTGTGCTTAGAGTCCCTTGGATGCATTGAAACTCCGAGCCGCTTGTTGCGGCTGTGCATGCAGCACATGGCATTTGCGTTGAGGAAAGTAGCGTGCAAATCAATTCACATCAGCATCTTCACGCTGTTTTTTTCCGAGGGGGCTGTCCGTTCAAGGACATCAAGCTGCCTGAGGGTCAGCAATCAGGCATCCACAAAATTGCATGATTGCTTAGGCTTTGACCTGTCACTTGCCACCGCGAGTTTTTCTGGAGAGTTCGATGATGCTTCCAGGCCTTGGGTGCTCATGTCAACACGCCGCGGTGGAAACGGTGGGATGACGGATCCAGTCGCGCACCCAATGTTGTAGAACGCGAGCGTGTGTGCCTGAGAGCTCAGCATTGCAGTTGAGGGCGAAGTAAAATCCAAACTTTCTAGGATTCCGGCATTCTTCAGGATATAGCCTGGGTTGGACGCCTTGGTCACAATGGTTGGCCGTTGGCCACAGGTGGCTTCTTTCACTGGCACTTAACCACCCAACACTTCAACCTACCAAACACAGGCTCTCTATGACAACACCAAAGCAAGTCACAAGATTCCTAAACAGCGCGCAAGGGGACTCCACAGTGCATCAAAGTAATCTAGTCTTGCCAACCTTGAGCTTCATGTCTGCCACGCCCACTCCGGCAGCTGACACCTGCTGTCAATTCGCATCAAAGCACTTCACCGACACATGACAATTTCTCCCGCTCAGCAGGACAAGCACATCACAAGCTGCCTTCGACACCAGCATACCCTTTAACTCCTGCACCTTGTTGCGTACAGACCTCGGCTTCAAAGGGTTTCACAAGCTGCACGTCTGTCAGGAAGGTTCTGCAGAGTGTGCAAGGAGGGGACACTTCCATGGGGATGGCGGGCTGGATACCGGCAGCCAGCGCATCAGCACCAAGGTTCACCTCTCCGAAAAAAGGGCGCCCAACATGAAGGATCTCCGTGCCAATAGCCACTACTTGCTCTACTCCCGACTGAGCCTGCACGATCACCGGTATCGGCACTGGATACTTTGCCACCTTTGCAGCTTTCTAAGCGAAGCTGACATGATATGTATAGATTTACGAACATACCAGCAGGGATACCTCACAGGCTCCCTCACCAAGAAAACAGCATGTCTAGCAGCAAAAACATCTCATCCTGCCTCTCCCGACATTGGGCTGCACGATGCCATTTCTGAGTCCCAGGCCCATGTATCTTCAGCTTGGAGGCTTCCGTCGTCCAGTCGCGGTCTTTTTGCGTTTGGCTCATCATCTTCGTCATCGTCAGCGAGCGCCATAGGACCTGCCCGGGAATCTGCAACAAGTCGTCACCTAAAGAATCGCCAAGAGACCTTCAGCTGAAAAGTCTGTCCCACCTGCGCTGCCAGCTGACATTCCCGGCGGGCGAATGCCAGGTGGCGCTCCGCCCTCAGCACAGGGCGGTTGATAAACGAGGCCGGATGAACCGGTGAACCCCCTTCTGCCGCAAACTTCTATGGCTGGATCGCCAACTGTTCTGCGTTTGAGGAGATCTGACGATAGGTCTTATGACTGCTGAACCTGGTGCAAATCACACAAAGGACCTGCAGGACTCATAAGATTCAATGGGGAATGGTTCAGAAAGGTGCATGCCCCGCCTGCATCGGCTGATTGACAAGTGATGCCTGAGGCAACCTGCAGCTGCTCATGATCCAGATATCAGAGAAAGCATGACAGAGCCAAAAGAGCCCTGTGCCACAGCGCCACATTCTTCCAGATAAGTCATGGGAAATCAGATGGAAAAGAAACTGGAAAATTACATGGATACTCCATAAAGGAGTTTATATAGGGGAGTCTTACAGGGGTTCTATAGGGAGATTCGACTCTCGGCCATTGGGGCAACAAAGGCTCCCGGGCCTAGCGTTGATCGTGGACACGCCTGCAATCGGTCCCTGCTGTCCACCAGGGAGGGCCTCGGTAAGCATCTCGTCCCTTAAATTATTGGGGATATATTGGGATAACGGAAAAGAAAAGGGAAACTATTTATTATGATAGGGTATATATTGGGGTTATAGTCCCCCTTATGTAGATAGAATAGGGCTTTGGGTATATTATAATAAGATCCCCCTATAACCCGTATTCTATCTACTTAAGGGGGCCTAGATCCCCTTTAGATTCCCGTAGTGGCCTCACCCCTCACCCCGTATGGATAATGGACAATAAAATGGAAACTATTGAAGTATGTTGGTGTTGTAGGGGGGGTATTGGAAAATAACATGGAAACTACCATAGTATATTGGGGTAATGGGGGGAGGGGGGGTATGTAAGCATAGAGCCTGGATAGGTACGTAGACTCCGCAGTGGCCATATCTGAAAACAACGACCGCTCCCTGGATGGATTTTACGAAAGAATCCGATAGGGTACCAGTAGTATTTCGGGGAAATACTGGGATAGGATAGGGTAATATGGGGCTATATTGGGATAATAAAAGCAGAGAATGGAAGCACCCAACATACTTTAACATAGGAAATGACGCATCGTGACCTAAACCCTGAACCCTAAACCGTAACTAAGTCCCCTAAGCCTCTAAGTGTCCTATAGGGTCCTATAGGAAATGATGCAAAGTGGTGGTTCTGCTGGCATACTGCCGGGGATGTGACAGGCATCGACGGAGCAGGCAGCGCCGAGGAACCGGGAGCTCCGGGCCTTCATGAAAAGTAACCCTGAACTGATGATAGCAGTGGTGATAATAGTAGGAAATGTATTAAGGTTATGAGTTATAAAGGATAATGGAAAAGGAAATGGAAACTACTACATTAAATTGATGATAGTAATAATAGTAATGATAGTACGGAATATATTGGGGTTGTATAGGGATAATGGAAAAGAAAACGGAAACTACTACAATATAGTAGGGTATATGTTGGGGTTATATAGGAAATGATGGCAAAACGGTGATGATAGAAATAGCAACAATAGATTTAGGGCTTAGGGTTTAGGTGATACCTACTGGGGTTTGGTAGGGAATAAAGGAATGTAGGGGTAAAACATAGGGTTACACAGGGGATAATGGAAAAGCAAATGGAAAGTTTAGAAATAAGAGTAACAGCAATAATGGTAAGAGCGATAGTAAGAGTATTAATAGCAAGAGCAATAGTAATAGTAATAGTATATTAAATATTTCAGGGGCCTACCCAGACCTCCATGTAGAAGCTGCGAAGCTACTGCTGAGAGACCGGCTTTGAAGGCAGAGCCTTTTGAGCTGTTCCTGCATCGTAGGCCGTCGGGGGGACCATTGTATGCGCCTTGGTGTTACGCGAAAGACATTGAGACAAATAATTATGCCCCCGTCAACCTTGCCCTCTCCGCCCAAAGGTACTTAACTTACCTTGACATGAGCTGTAGTCTAAACTCCTGCATGCCCCTTAATAACCCGCATAATACTCCCCTATATAATCCCCTGAAAACACCCTTTAAGGAGTTTAGACTATAGCTCATTTGAACATGCGGAAGGCTTCCTTCGGCTGCAAAACGTATTGCCAGGTTCCAGGCCGGACCAGCATCTGCACCAGCATCTCGTGCTGCTGCTTCTGCACCTGCCTCTGCCGCCTCTCGAATCTCCTCCTCAACCGTACCGAACAAGTCGGGCCTGACGGAATCAGTATGTCATAGAAAATTACAGTAAAAGTATATTATAGCATATTATAAGATATTATTTTATGTCATTATATATTATAGTAAATTATAGTACATTATGGTGAATTATAGTGAAGTATTGCAACTCATAGAAAATTATGCTATGCTATAATGGGTTATAATATCTAAGAATAATAATGACACGACCACTTTCTCAGACATCGCCTTTTAGCCACGAAGCTCGCCAAGTTTGCCTCCACGTCATCTGCAAAGGCAGACTCTTTCCTGCCAAGGGCTGTGCTCAGCTTCCTCGGTAAAGTATAGAATATATTATAACATATTTGGGTATATTGTAGTTTAGTGTAATATATTACAGTATATTATATAGACTATACTATATTATGATATAATATACTGTAATTCATAATATATTGTTGTATACCCTGCAGTGAACCGATCGGGTGTTTGCAACTGTCCTGGCACGCTCCACCAGGGCATCCTTCTGATGCTTCCATTTTGGATCCAGCAGGAGCACCTAGGAGACACAAAGACTCCTGTGAGGAAGCACGGGTAGTTGAAGTCCAGTACAGTAAAATACATTACAATATATTGTATATACTATAATATATTATAATATACTATATAGTACATCATAGGTTATTAGAATATGTCCTAATATGTTGAGGTGTGCTATCTGACCAGCAGTTCGCGTTGCCTGCAACAGCAAGTGCTGGCTGCGGCCCTGGAAGTACATGACTTGGTGCCTGAGATTCAAACCTTCAAGTGGTTGGACATCTCCTCTGCAGCGATAAGCTGGCCTCGTTTGTTGCTTGTTATATTAAGGTTATATTGGGATTACATTGGGATCATATTGGGACTATATTGGGACTATATTGGGGTTACATGGTACCATGGAAACTTGTGGGCTGCGATGCAAGAGGGTCAAAGGCACGGAGCCTGTGATGGGACAGCGCTGCATCAACCGCTGAGCGCTTCCCTGGAAAAAGCAATATCAGAGCACTGCAAGTCAAAATGGCAAATGTGCTCACACAGGAATTCCAAAAAAATACGCAGCGGTGCATGCTTGAGGTTTGCAATTACAATGTGAACTACAAACAAGAAGACCTTTTCCACGACTCACAAACTTGCATCACTGCAGCATTCAGCCTGACATACCAAATTCGGTCCGGTGCAGTATGCCTTCTATGTCAAGTGATAGCTCAGCCGACGGGCGTGAGGAAGGTAAAAAAAGGGCACTGCACCAGACTTCCCACGTTATACTCATTTGAATGACTCCTTTGAGCAGGCACAGCTCTGCAGGTGGCCTTCTTCTGTCGGACGTAGTCCTTGCGCACTTTCATCTCGGGCTCCTGCAGGTAAGGACAAAAGAAAACAAAGAAATGTATTGGGATAATGGAAAAGAGAATGGAAACTACTATAGTATATTGGGGCTATATTGGGATAATGGAAAATAAAATGGAAACTACTATAGTAGGATATTTTATGCACCGTACGTTGTCAGCAAATGACTGGCCTGCATGGGAAGAGGAATCTCCGGCTCCATGTCCAGAGGCTCCTCCTCGGGGACCTCCAGCAACACAAGCCACCATAAAATTGGATTATAGGGTATATATTGGGGTTATATAAGGAAAATGGAAAAGAAAATGGAAACTACCATATTGGGGTTATATGTACCTATCATATTGTAGTAGTTTCCATTCTATTTTCCATTATCCCAATATAACCCCAATATACTATAGTAGTTTCCCCAATAACAAGGCACAGAGATACTTACTGAAGCACCTTTCGATCAGCAAAAACTTTCTGGACTTCCCTCACAGCATGTGGCCACAAGCCGACCCTGAGATTGCAACCATTTCTTCTTCCTCCCTCTGCTGCCTTTCCCTTTCCTCCTGACATCAAGCTTTATGGGTCCACACCGCAATGCCAAAGGCGACCAGTGTCCTTCTCCCGCTCTTCTCTTTCACGTTCTTCACGTTCCCGTTGCTCCTTTACGACACGTCTGCACCACATCCAAAACATGCAACAAAGGATATCATTACACAAGAATCAAACCTGAGGTTCCAGCTGCCATTTCTCGCTCTCTCCTTTCCCTTTCCTCCTTTTCCAGATCCACAGCCGGCTCCTCCTGCCATGAGTTTTTGCCCAGTATCATGATGCAAGCCATGCCTAAACACACATTGGTAGTTTCCCTAAATTACTGTTCCCAAAATGGGGGAAATGTATATAGGGCCCCGTATTATCATGGGAACCCAAATATAGGACCCCGTATTATAGGGAATTTAGACCAATCCCCACATAGCAAGCACGGCTAGCAACTTTGGCCGGCAGCACCCTGACTTCCTCCTCCACACCCTTTACTGGCTTCTCAATCTTCGCCTCTGCGAACATTGTGCCTGCTAGATCAAGCAGTTGAGTTGGTGAGGAGTTCACGTCATCCTGTTGCTTCTTTAGTACTCATGGTAAGCGCCTGCTTGCTCAAGAGGTGCTGGCGCTCCTTTCGGAGCATGGGTCGAAGGATCGATTGGTGCTGCCTTGCAGAAAGCATTTAGGTGTGAACATGCAGATTCATGAAACAAAAGGCTGGGCCCAAGGCAAGCTGCAAAGTATCATCTTCTGCAGTGAACCTTTGCCAGAAACCGCGAAGACAACTGCTGGCTTTATCTGGGCAGAATCGTCGTAGGTACACGGCTCAATCGTCTCCACTACCACAAAATCGTGCCAGTCAATTTGTGCCATCTGCTCCTGCAGGAGGATGCATGGCCAAGTCTCCAGTTCAACCACCCTCGAGAAAACGTTGCACCTTCTCCTCCTTCACTTCTTCCTCTCGGCCTTTAGCGCTGGGACCGTCATTCGAGTCGGGAGATTCTCGGTTGCCGGACAGTGAGGAGCAGGCTCACCCGATTGGCTTCCTCCTGCTCGTCCCACGCAAATCGCGCCATAGCCTGGGCACAGGTTGACCACATGTCACATACCTGAGCAGCATGCTGGAACTTTGAAAATTTGAATCTGCCTTGTCAATCACCTCTTGGGGGTTGCCAGTGCACTTCTTCAGCTTCTCTACCTGACACACATCTCCGCTGTAAGCCTCTTAGACTTACAATAATGAAAATAATGTTGTTTCATAGAAAAGGGTAAGACAATTCCTACGAGGATGAGGGTCTCTCTTTTCTGCAAGGATGGGATGCCAACCCTGCCTCGTCTTTGTTAGGCATTAGGCACTTCGTGTAAGCCTCCGCAATACCAGCTTGGCGCATGTTTAGCGTGATAACAAGTCAAACAATCAACCAGGCTGAACAATAAGGAGCCCACATCCACCAAAGACGTGAAGTAGCCGAAGAGAGCATGTGTTGGCCTCAGCGATACGACATGCAGCGTGCAGCAGTGGAACAGAACGCCTGAAATCAGAGTTCCCCGCTTGAGAAAATCGAACTGCGGATTACGGCTTTCTCGCTGCGTCAGCCCAATCAGAAACTTCTGGCCTCAATCTACAAGCATTGCCCACATTTCGCCTGGAGAGCTTGGCACTCACCGTTGCGGGCAACAAACTGCGCCGTCAACTTGATGATATCTGTGTCCATGGGTGCCTTGCAGCCCAATGTAAAGCAAAAGGGACTTCGTCAACCCTTGTGCAGTTGTCTCGGGCCCTGACAATGTAGGGATGATTGACTACGTACCTGGGCTTGCCACAAAGCACCCCTCCACATCTTGTCATGGGTGAACGAGAGTCTTGGGCCGATGTTTGATACATTTTGATACCTAGCACAGCAGCGTGGCGGCTGGGGAACGCCAAAATGCAGCTTGAAACGTGAACCTTTCTTGCTCACTGTTGCCAACTTCCTTAGACTGCAATCCTTCCCAAAGATGCAAAGAATCCCAACATGGGGGGTTGCTCGAAACAAGAATATGAGTCATGAGTAACTAGCGGGCCCCTTTACGGATTGTACAAGGATGATTTTAAGAACTCCTGCATCAAGGCTCGTGCCAATGACGACGAGCGATTCAATGATTGTAAGTATCTGCTAGCCAGTGCCAAGGAGGATTCAAAGTTGGGACACCATGCAGACATTTATACCAGAGATTATAGCCATGAATCCATTCTAAAATTGAGCAACAGTTTCAAACCATCTGAACACTTGCTGCAAACTGCATTGTCATCCCTGCCAGTATTACCAATGACACAATCACCTTCGAAAAGAGGAACCTTTCGAACTCCGCAGCCTCCCAGCAAAACACTCATGTGTAAGCCGTGGTTCTGGTCAGGCGGTGGCGGCTTCACTTGCTTCTTTCTCCTAGGGTGTGACATCGGCTCGGCATCACAAGGAGTTCCAGCCAAAAGCCAAGGAGCTTTTCGCCCATAGTGAGGGCCTTCAGTTGCTCCTGCACTGTTGATGCTAAGTGATTCATCAGCTCGTAAACCCGGCGAAAGCACCTTTTTGAGCCTCTTTGCATCTTCCTTGGCCTTCTGATCCTCAGGGAGCGACTTGGCCGCTTGAGCCCCACTGGTCAATAAAAAATCTTGGCGTCAGCTTTCCGACCTGCTTCCTTCTGCTCATTGCAAAGAACGTCAGCTTTCTGGGGCCAACGCAATGATGGCCTGAGGAACTTCTGGCTTTGTCTCCTGCATGTCTTGATCAACACGACGTCAGTGGCTTCTCAAACAAACGAGAGCTGCTAGCGGATACTAACTCCTAATGCCCAAAATCCCGAATGCCTCCACCACACCAGTCTTGAACTCCTTGACCTTGTGTTCGTAGTATGGCCTCTCAAAACAGATGAGCCCAGCACCTTCAGAGCATCCAGGTCCGACGCCTGTAAGGATTGTTGGGCAGCAGGAATGCGAACCTCAGATCTTGTCACTGGACGCTGTCAACGAATTCATTTCGAGATGTGCAGTTGACTTGCAGGTTTGGACCAACAATCCTGCTCGGGCTCAGATCAATGCCAGTTGGTTGTGCGACATTGAGCTCTGGTGAATATTGGAAAGGATAAGCCTCCTGAGAAATGTGCCTGGACAGTTGCTTTGGGGCTTTATCTCATTGTGACACCTGACCACCAACAGCTAAATGGCTTCTAGTTTGGAGTTTCAACATGAAAGACATTAAGCAAGGCGCAAACAAAAAACTCATCCAAACACCTCCGACAACTGTCATTAGATTGGATCGCCTCATGCCTTCTTGTTTTATCTGGAATTACGAAACGCATCTAGAGCAATCTACCATAGCGCCACTTTCTCCACAACCAATGCAGCCTGCACTGCTACGCTTGAAAAACACGACTTACACTGACATGCAGATGCAAGCGCACACTACCTCTAAGGCCGCCGACTTAGTGTGGTTCTGCTCGCGGAGCACACGCTGCTCGAAACCCTCACCTTGGGCAATCTTGTTGCAAGGAAGGGGAAACACATGAATACACGACAACAATCAGCGCACACACAATATTGTCAAGGGCAACATTAAGAGCCTAAATCCTACCACCACAAACTGTTCTAAATCTTCGTTGTCTGCACTGCTTAAGCCGTCACCGCATTTTGCCACGAATTGCGCGGTCTTGTCAATGACCTGAACACATCGGCAGGGATTGAGTGCTTTTACAAAATTTGTGAACAATCAGCGACGCAAACGTCAAGCGATACAGGCAGCTTCCTAGTATGTAACATACACTGACATACATGCACAACATTATGTGCAGCTCACACCGCCTCAGCTTACCCAACTTCCCAATCAAACGGTTTTGGCGAGTGACTCCGCGGATATCTGGCGGTGGGTAGATCAGCCCAACCTGGAACATTTTGAGTGCATGTTCAGGGTCAAAAAATCTCATGACACCGCACAAAGGTGAGTTCGCAACTCCTGCGTTGCTTTTGTCTTCATCAGGCCTTGCCGGTAAACACATTCTGGCTCATGCAACCGGTGCGAGGCATGTCCAAGTCTCAAGCATTGCGCAACACCTGACGTATGTCCCCACCTGCCTCTAATGCTGCCAAATCTGAAATGACAGCTGCAGTATATGACATCTACTTGCTTTTGCAAATTCAATTCTCCGGACAAGCTCCGGCTTCGTTCGTCACCTAGCGAATTTGTGTGCAATGCGTTGCAAAACTGAATTTGCGTACTTGCATGTCGACGGAATGTTGCTGGCAATTTCGGACCACTGAAAACAAGATGCTTTTCAACTTTACAACTTGCAACACTTATCCTGGTGAAGGTTTTGTGCGCAGCCGTCTCTGAACGTTCAGGATATGGGAGGCTTGCAGCGAGCAACATTGATGTTGTTGCAAGTTTGTCCAAAACGGGCCATTGGACCATTGTCTTTTTTGCGCGTCGGATCTGCAACAAGTGGATGATATTCAAGGAGTGAATTTCGAACCATATGACAAGCACAGCATCATGTATTTGGGCGTGGTGACAATGACATGCGAGCAACAAGAAACCATGCCAACGCACGAGGAAAGCTTGCCACATCCAAGGTCTTCATGCTATTGTATTTAACTGTACAGGAGACTTCTTGTCCTAGTTCTTGTACCCCCATAATGCCCTTTAAGAAACGTCCGTAAGACCAAAAGATATGCACCAAGGGGAGGGAGCTATAGAAGGAGACATATGTACACGCAAGGTGGAAAGCGGAAAACGGCCTCTCTCTTTCTGGATTGCACAACCCACAATCAGAACTAAATCCAAAACGTGCCATTCCATAAGGAATGCAACAAGCACGCGTGTGATCGGGGTGATCATCACCAGCCCCACATTTGTCTATACAGGGCTGTTAATTACCGAAAATAGAGGGTGGGATGGGTGGGACATCAAAATCCAAGAGGAGTTTGACCCAAAACGTTTCAGACATACGAATCAACATCATGTCCCAAATATTGGGACACAACAGAGGTAAAACTGGATATCCAAAACATTTCAAATTAACCAGGAAAAATTCTTAAAAACATGCGCTGCAACTGGAACTGAAACTGACAAGTTTGAATGCACATGCGGCGGAAGGAAACTGACATGACTGACATGTGAGCCCGAGTGATCCTTAATCGGCCTAGGGCGGCATAGGACCCAAGCCTCCAAACTCCCCAACCTTGTGGGCATTTGGGGAACAATTTGTTTGGTCCGTTTCACTTCCCAAACTTCACTTGTACCCCCATAATGCCTTGTAAGAAACGTCCGTAGGACCAAAAGATATGCATAAATGGGAGGGAGTAATAGAAGGAGACATATGTACACACAAGGTGGAAAGCGGAAAACGGCCTCTCTCTTTTCTGGATCGCAAACCCACAATCAGAACTCAATCCAGACCGTGCTCTTCCATAAGGAATGCAACCAGCATGCGTGTGAACGGGGTGATCATCACCATCATCCCCCTTTCGATGAAGAGGTAGAACGGATGCCACCCCCACACTTATTTCTCAAATCGGATGGCCCCAGGCCGTACTGACGAATCTGAATCCAATTTGGAAGCATCTAAACTCCCACGGAAGTAACCAGAAACTGTCCAATCCTGAAAATGAATCCATATAAAAAATGAAAACGTGTGCACTCGCTCATTGACCTGTGGCATACCGTCATCCGGTCTGGTCGGATCGGGTTTTTGTGCGAGGCGATTCACCCCCCCGCAAAAACCAAATATAGGCCCTACGAGCTTGACTCTCCCAAGCGGAAGCGATTGGATGGCCAACCATTTGAAGCACATTATCCCCGCAGGGACAGGGAACAATGGCCTGATTGCATGAGAATGGCCATGGTGCCAGAGGTAACGCACGTGCCTGAAAGGTGACAACTGGACCATGGCCGACATGCGTGAAAAGAAGGCCATGAATGAAGTTTGCAAATATGCGCCGTTGCCTGAAACATTTGAAACTTGCAATGAACTTTGTAATTTGTAACTACCTATACCCAGGGCATTAACCCTAACCCAATTCTGGGTTAAAGCCCCAAGGCATTAACCCTAACCCCATGGGAAGCGCAGTACGCCCAAGGGCCAAAGGACCAATGGCATAATCACATGAGATGGCCCAACGCCCATGAGGAGCGGGCACATAAGAGCGACAACAGGATGATTTCAACGGTGCATGTGAAGTAGGCTCGGGCGAAATTTTTGCAAGCGGCGACATTTTTGAAAATTTAAAGGTTTGCGGTGAAACTACCTCATAGCCCCAGGTAACCGTCCATAAACCACAGTTTTGGGTTAGGGCCAACCCATCTGGGGATGGCCGCCTGGGGTGCGGAAGATGGGCTGAAATTTTGTTTCTATGCAAGCACAACTATGAGAAAAATATGTTGCAGGCGCAAATTTGGCTTCGGGGTTCCCAAGGAAATTGGTGACGCACTAAAATATTGAGTAAAACATAAATAAACAAGTTCACTAGACGTTCTACCCTGATTAGTTATGTTTGCATAAATATATGTATTCATAACCAGAAATTTATCAATACTGAAAATGCACCATATAAAATGAAGACATACGCAGTCTCTCATTTTCCTGCGGCACACAATGATCGTGTCAGGTCGCATCTGGTTTTTGTGTGGGGCGATGGAATTCACCCAAGTATGCTTGCCCCACACAAATAAGCACGGTGACATGAAAAGCCAGTTTTGTATGGGAAATTTGTGTTGGGCGGGCGCAACTGCCAACACAAGCACGCTGAGAATCGCAGGTGGCCCGATGCGGATGATGAACGTAGCACCCTATTGTAATTGACAGGCGTGTAGCGGAGGAATCCGTTGTAACCCCAGAAACTGGTTAAGCACTGCGTGAATTCTGAAGGCTGCTACCTACACTGACGGCGAAAGCTCCAAGGGCTTTGTCAGTGATACCACGAGACCGCCCAAGCTCGGAATCTGCAAGCGCTTGGCCCCGGGACATTTTGCACCAAACACTGGTGGAAAGCAACTTCCACGCACGCAAGCCGTGCATTGACACAAACCCGCCCAACAACCGAATGACGCAACACGCTTCGCTGGCTTTGTGGCAATGCGACACTTCCCACCATGGCTGATTAGGCCGTGGGTGTAATGAAGCAACCCATGGCACTTGCCATACATTGGTAGGACTCGGACCAAAGCACCCTGACTGCAAGTTGCTCCGTGATTTGGGGCATGTGCCCCTGGCTGCTCAGCACGTTGCTCCTTGCAGATTCCCCTCAGAAACTGGGCGAAGCGATGGCCGAAACGATGCTTGTAGCTTTTGAGGTCACGGATATGAGTTAAACAGCAAAACTCTAAAGAGATCCTTCTCTTTTGAGCTCAAAAGCGTTGCCGTATTGGGCTCCAAAGTTAAACATGTACGCTGAGACGGGTTCATTTCAGGTAGGTTTCATGGATGCCAAATATCTTAACACCCTGCCTGAAAGCTCTTTCGCTGCGGGCATAATCCAGCTCCAGACATTGGATTTTCATTCCCAGGAACTCATGAGTTCAACGCCTGCGCATGGTTCCCAATGGTGCGCCACCCACCATCTCACCCGCAATTACGGGATTGAGGGTCCAACTCATCCTCAGGCGAGTCGACACAGTAGGGCGCACGTTTTCCAGCTGACACTTTGCGCCATCTCAACACTCGCTGAAGAGTAGGTTCGGTGAAACTTGACTTGGTTCTTCCACCTCTACTCAGGATTCATTCTTGATGACCCATTCTTGGTGACCCAGTTCACGTTGGTTCAGGAAGTTCAACAAACTGCCCATGCTGCTTCATTGCCCTGATCCGATGTTGGAATACCCTCAAAACCAAACTCCAACAATTCTCCAATTCAACTTCCTCTGGTGAAACTTTCTTTTCTCCTCCATTCCTATCCATCTCCAATTCATACAACTATCCATTGCACTCACTGAGTTCTCATCATTCTTCTCCAGGATAACTTCTCAAAATTTTCCGTTCCTATTCTTCCTCAGTAATCGTACCGGGAACGCCGCAACCTTTCACCGCATCTACGGACACAGCACGCACAACGTGCATGCGCACATTCTCTTCGAGCACCACGCATGGGTGGGTCAAAATTTTGCTCTGGCCTACCTCAGAGCCCTTCTGATGCCGCGGTACATAAAGATGACCCTTCCATCCGCCCAAAATTGGAACATGTGTATGTATAAATCAACTACGCAATCATGCCCACATGAAAACTTTGCGCACATGAAACATACACATGTTCTCAAAGCTTCATTCACATGTTCAAGTTCAACTCTCTTTTTTTGTTGAAAAGCTACAAAACATGTGAGGTCGACTGGCCTCCACATCTGTTGTGTAGAATTATCAGGTTTGAAGGGTTCCTTATTCCCATAACACACAAACCTCACGATTATATAGCTCATCCAAATAGATATTCATATTCGAATCGCATCAAACGAATATCAAAACTTGCATTCAATGATTCACTCACATGCGCTCGTTTTGCTTCGCTTTGCACACGCAGATAACAACGGGGGTAGGTCCAAAGACTGGCCAGTGATGCCACGCATGCAAATGATACCCATTGGCATCACCCGCATTATGGGCCCCTTCGGACCCAACACACATTTTGTTTCGCATTTTCTTTTGATGTCCCTCCGGACAGGCATCACTCACCACCACCCCCATCATCACCTGATGCCTTCATAAACCGGCTCAACTTTCCGGAACATGCGCATGTACCTCCCGAACTGCAAGCGAGATTCTGCATCGTCCATTACTCTTGGAAGGCACACGCGAACACCAGCTCATCGCATGGGACTTCAAATCTGCTTTGGCCACTGCGAACAACAGATCAGTGGCATCGCACACGGGCGAGAAGGAGCGAATCAAGCAAGACC